ACCGTCGACTTTGCACGTTAGTTAAGTGCGCGAAATCAATGTTCAATAAAATTTGTATCAGCTCGACGGTAAAAATTCGATATCTGATCCAAATGTCCTATCAACAAAAATCAAGATGCGTTTTAAAGGCAAAGAGTACAGCTTTCGTATGCTGTTTTTGTATTTTGCCGAGAATAAACTTAGTTTTTATAAAGGTGTTAATTAAATTAACGTGGCGCGATTTTTACCATTTTCTACGATTCTCGCGAGATCAATAAAATTGATAACTTTCATTGGCCAGTTGTAGTAACATTTCCACTTCTAGAGATCAATCTTTAAAACCTATGACATAAAATTTCAATTTTGAGATATCAAATATGATGCATTTGAAATATAAATAAAAAATGCAAATTTTAATGTTTTACATTACAAATGATCACACGTCACAGGAAATGCTTTTCAGAAAACGGTTTTATGTGTAGTTTATTGCAAAAGTTTTGTTATTTTGAAAAACGTACTAGTGCAATTAAAAAAAAGTTTAAAAGTTTAAAATTTTTAGACCGTTTGTAGTGTGAAAGTTTAAATTCAGCGTTTTTTAAGCATATGTCAAATGCCTCATATTTGTTGCCAAAACTAAAAACTAAAATTTCATACTATATGTTTTAAAGGTTGGGCTCTAGTACTCGAAACTTCAGTTTAGTTTAGTGACCAGTCGATGGAAGGAATATATTGTATTGATCTCGTGAGAATAATAAAAAAGACAAAAATCGCGCCACGTTTATTTCTTTAACACCTGTATAAAATTTGAGTTTATTTGGGCAAAAACTGTATACGAAAGCTGATCTCTTTACCTTTAAAACGCATTTTGATTTTAGTTGATAGGACATTTGGATCAAAAGATATCGAATTTTTGCCGTCGAGCTGATACAAATTTTATGAATTTGCGTAACTAACATGCAAAATCGATGGTCGCTTCAAGCGTTGTTTCTAACGAACGGTTCATTGTACACAAAAAATGTTTATAAACACATTTGTTTAAAATTTTCTCAGCTACATTTTTTATTTGAAATATCTTTTTTACAGTGTACAAATTCTTGGTAAATTAATTTTTTTTGCGGGGTTACCCTCCTCTGGGAGGGTTTTAGGCGAAAGCCCGGGGGTAAAAGTGGTAAACTTTTTTGCATCTTTTTTGGGGTCTCAAAATTAATATGCTCGGCAAAATTCAGCTTGTTCGTATGATTTTTAGAGGTTCAGTGGCATTTTCGTCTGTGACAACTAAAGTAATAAGCAGGTTCCGGTGGTAAGCTTTGGGTAAACCTTTTACTTTAATCTTGCAGCATCGTATTCTTTTGATTAAAATAAGATTCAGCTTAAACTGACGTTTGCAATATTACCTATTTTTCATATTTTTGTTTTTTTTATTTTGATAACCAACTTAAAAAATCATCGAACAAATGACATCGAAAAAGATTAAAATCGGCCCTTTTAATCGATTATTTGCATTAAAGTAAATATTTTACGAAAAAAAACAGCAATAACTTTCGTCTTTTTTTTTTTTGTTTAAAACTCGGTAAATAAATAAATAATAATAAATAAAAAAGAGGTTGCCATGGGAAAAGTTTATTGATGAAGTATATATTAATCATAAATATTTATGTATGTGTTATATAAAAATGACCTCAAATATTATTAAAAAAAAAATAAACAATTAAAAAAAATTGTTTAAGCAAATTAGATGGTTTATTTAACAATTTAATTATTTGAATATTTTTTATATTATTTAAATATTTTACATATTCATAAAGTACGAATTGTCGTTGTTAATATAATGTTGTCAACGATATTACGTAATAATCGCTTTCAACGATTTTATTAAAAGCAATCTTTCTCGAATTTGGCACATTCGAACTATTAAGTGTGTTCTTTCTAATGACGCTAATAAGATCTCTTAATTATTAAAAACAAATTATCAGTTTAACAAAAGGGGCTAACTTCTTCCCAAATTTTCCTAGGACATCTTTTTTTTTTTTTAAATTTGTGAAACAATGCCGGCTTTCTAAATATAAAAAAAATTCTTGTGAACAATGGCTAACAGTTAGTCTAATTGTTTATAAGACAAAAATCGACCTCTTTTACAAAATTATTTTGCAATATTTAAATTTTTTTATCTATTTCTAAATGATATTAATAGAATAAATATTCTTTCGGAATCTACTAATCATAATTGTCTGACTATTCTTGCAAAAAAAATTATTCCGGGAAAAATAAATTAAATAACTTTTAAACTATCTGACCCATCGGTTTAAAATTTTAATCATATTTTAAGTACTACAAGATCCAAAATTCCATATAATATGAAGTTTTTAAATAGTTATTAACATTTATAAAAAAAAACAAACAAAATTTTTGACTAGTTTTACACCTTTCTAAGCACCAAATAAGGTTAGAAATATTAAAAAACGCTCTTTTGAAGGTTTTTATGTGACTCAAAAGTTTCTTACTCTCAAATTTGTTTCAAATTCTTCATTTGCTAATAGAAGAAAAAAGCAAAAAAATACCGTTTTTTTGACATTGTAACATTTCTTTTATAATTGAAATGTGAAATTATTTTTAATCCCTTTACTCCGGTTGAAGATACGTCGATGGTCCACAACGCCCAACGCCCATATTTATGGCGCCCAACGTGGGGCACCATAAATATATGTGTAACCTCGGAAACCTTTTTTGGATGGTGCTAGAAAGGTCACCAATGGAGACACTGCGGACGGCAGCCAAATAGTTGGTGGAGAGCGCGTCGTGGGTTCTAAACTAGCTCTTGGAACCGGAAATGAGCCCAACGTATGAAATAAGTAAAGATAGGATAAGAAATACAGAAAAGATACAGAAATAAACAAAAAGATAGATGGGTAAATTACCAAAGATACGATAAGATAGAAAAAGGGCGCCGCTCAGTTTTTTGGGTTTTAAGCAGAAAATTAAGAAACCTTAGAAAAGAAAAATGATAAGGAAAGATATTTAGGTACTGAGACCCAATCCAAGGAAAGATACCAACAGTTAATTATTAAATAAATTTGGTCAACACACTATAATATAAAAAAATAATAAATATTATAGTAATAATAAATAATAAATAATATATGAGGTGGACTCCGTCCACCTACTTACTTACGAAACTAAATCAGCGTGATCCTTCTCCTGGTCAAAGGTATAATAATAATTGAAGGTAAAAATCAGATATTCAGAGTTACTGTTATATCATGAAACTTGTTAGGAGTCGAGAAATAAAATTCATACATAAAACAAAAACAATGTATTCAACACCACAATGGTATAGGCAGCTGAATGTACATACAAGTAATGAAAAATGCACCATGAATTGATCAATGGTTGTATAAATATAGAAATGAACAGTATTATAATTGGGAAATACCTTTACAAATACAATATAATACAATCATGCACAAATAAAATTTTATGGGCGTATCTCGAAATAATACAGTAAATAAAAAAAATGAATAACAAACAACACAAAGTTAATTAAAGTTAAATTCAAAAGATACAAAAAGATTACAGAAATAAAAATTTAACCAAACCGCACTTGGTTAAGTCGATTATCTGTTCGCACTGTTATTTAATGATTGATTGAGAATTAAATGTTTGTAGTTTAAAAGATCCTAAAAACTGATTGAAAGTTCATATGTAATTATTAAATGTTCCTTGAATTAAATAGCTAAATCGGTAGATATTCTTAACTACAGGTGTAGAAATGGATGACTTTAGATTCGTCCAGATAATTATAGATGATATAATACCATAACATATTATTCGCAAAGATAATAATTATGATAACTTACAGTAAATTTTGATGACTGCTGCACTAATTCACTGAAGCTAATATAATTTACTTGTATCAAGCACTGTAGTTATTTAAATTAAACGGTAGTTTATGCCAATATCTAATCTAATATGACATTAGATCAAAAAACTCAAATATACAAGTGTATACACACTTAGAATGAAAAATGCACAGAGACGGTAAGGTAACGCGCGTGTTTCCTCAAAGATCACCCAACTAGCCACAAGTCTTTACTCAAAGACGGCCCGGTCAGAAGTGGTCTTCCTTCTGCAAAAATTTACCAAACTACTCAAAAAAAGGTGAGGGTATCTCCCACTTAAAAATGATAGGACAGTATCCATTTCTAAGAAAGTAAAGTTCTAACGACTATCGGAAGGTTCGAGGTAATTCGTTACTAGTAATTTGGAACGTGAGGAAATTAAAATTTTTTGGATTAGATTCTTACAGCAAAATTACTATAACGTGCCTTCGGCGATATTTACCAAATTTTTTCAAAAGAGCCCGCCTTCACCGAAAAGCATTAGTTCCTTTCATACTCAGGATTAAAAAAGGATTAAAGGTGTCTATAATAAGTCGGTTCTTCCATAATATTTCGATAGTTTCCCAATAAAATTTAACAACCCGTTTGTGAATACGACCATAGACGTATCTTCAATCGGGGTAAAGAGATTAAAAATAATTTCATATTTTAATTATAAAAAAAAATGTTACAACATTAATTTGTTAATAACTAATTAAGTCCAAAAAATCGACTCCAGAAATAAAAAGGTTCTTGTTACAGAGGTCTATACTACCCAAAACCACTGTCGTTTGCTTGACCGGTTCAGTGTCACAAACAGGGTACTTTTTTTGCTTATTTCCCTGGCCTAAATATCAAAGGAAGTGACAACACCTAATCACAAAGCTGAAAATAAATTACAAGTGGGTTATAAAATTCTTAAATAAAACTAATTGATATTTCATTTTTATACCTACGTAATTATTAATCGAATAGTTAAAAAACTTACATTACTATTTTACAGGAAAAATTTAAAACATCACTGGGGCTAGTCCGTCGCAAAGACTGTTAGACAAAAAACAACACAGGAAAAGATAGGGTGTCACATCGGGAAAAATCCAGATGACGTCAAGGTACAAATAGGCACCGGATCACACGGGTACTCACCGGAATCGAACAAGGTTTATCCAAAACAACTAAATCTTCATCAACATGTATTAGCTTGATCGAGTTCGATAACACAGGGGTCTCGTGTCTGCAACGAACCGTTAAAAAACATAAAACTTTAGGTTAGGTCAGTGACTACGCCATATTGGTATGTAGGCAGGACTAACAGAAAAATGTCTTGGTGTGATCTGTTCTCCATATTTTTCTAGTCAGTTATCTACAAGCCTTAACAATGAACATACCTAGTGTCAAATATGTACAATCAAATGGTGGGTGGCATTTATCCGAAAACTTGCTACCTAAACGCTCCATAAAATTTCAGGAGCACGGTATTAACAAATATATTCAAAATGGCGCTTGGTTCATTTCAATTAGACTGTGCTACTGTAAGTTTACGGAGTGTCTTCAGTTTGTTAAAGTATTTTTCGTATTTACGAGATCATTATTTAAGCAATATAACAAAAGAACATATAGTAAGGTAACAATCAAGTAAACAAGTGAGGTAAAATTGTTATAGATTAAGTCAATTTATTATACTTACATGAATATTCAAAGTATTTAAAGTTAAAAATAAGAGGTAAAAGCTAGGTTGTTGTTTTTTTTGCATATGAGCTTTAATCAATTACAACCTATCAACACGACCTGATTAATTTCGATGCAGAATTTACCTGTAAATTTCATGAATATTACCAAACAAAAGCTGATTATTTTGTTTACTTTGTAGCTTTTCCCTAAAGCTATAACATATTTCCAAATTCTCGTTCAGTGTCTCCCATACCTATCAAATATAAAGAAACATATTGGTGCTTTTCGATCACTTGATCTAGATGATCCAACTTGTGCTTACGCGGCTCCATTTTTCATATAAAATTAGTTTTTTGAAAAGTCTTGAGAAGAAATCTATTAGCCTTACTAAACAAAACCACACAAGGTTATTAAGATTTACATAGCAATAATTAAATTATGAAACATCACAAAACTCTCTCTCTTCAATCCTGACCCCCCAGGGGAGTGTAGTGGTCGACGTGATGTCGTGTATTGTCCGTCTCCAGAGATCTCTGTCTCTGGTCATTTCTTTTAATTCATGCATAGGTCTTTGGCATATTTCTGTAATTTGATCTATCCATCTTGTTGGGGATCTTCCTCGTGATCTTCGGCCTTCTACCTTTCCTTGTATTATGAGTCTTTCCATGTTTTCTGTGTTTGCTCTCATAACCTGCCCAAAATATTTTAATTGTTGGAGATGGGCTTTGCTAGAGAGTGGTTGGCTAACTTTTAGCTCTCTTAAAATTGAATTATTTGTTCTACGGTCGGTCCAAGGAATTCGTAAAATTCGTCTCCAACAGAACATTTCAGTGGCGTCTATCTTTCTTCTCTTCGATTGTCTCAGAGTCCAAGATTCACATCCGTAGGTCAGTATTGGGAATATTAAGCAGTTGATCAACCTCATCTTTATCGCTCTTGAAATTTAACAGTCCTTCCATATTTTGGTCATTTTTGCTGTGGCAACTTTTGCTAGATCGCATCTACGTTTAATCTCTTCTTGTAATGACCCTGTGTTTGTGGTTAATGATCCCAGATATAAGTATAAGCTCACAACCTCGAACCGGTCAATTGTGGTTATGTGTGGATGATTGTTGTGTAGTCTATCCACTATCATGATCTTTGTCTTTGATATGTTTAATTGCAGACCAAATATTTAACTTTCGTTTTCGATCAGTCGTATAAGTTCCATCAGCTCTGCTTGAATATTTGCAAGAAGGGCTGTGTCATCTGCGAAACGTAGGTTGTTTAGTTTATGACCATTTATTGAGATGCCCTTTTACCATCCTTCAAGTGCTCTTCGCATAATACACTCCCCATATATGTTGAATAATTGTGGAGATAGTATACATCCTTGTCTGACACCCCGTTCTGGATGAAACTCGTTTGAAAGTGTGTCAAGTACTTTAACTGATCCAGTAGTGTGTTCATATAGTTCAGTTATAAGTGTAATTAGATGTTGTGGTACGCCTACTTCTTTTAGTATTCGCCATAAGTGTCTCCACTTGACCCTGTCGAACGCTTTATGGTAATCTATAAAACAGATGTATAGTGGGATGTTGAATTCCCTAGATTTTCTTTCCCAAAAGATAAGCAATTCTGTGATATGTGGTTAAGAGCTATCAAACGAGACAATTATACCCCAAAAAAATCTTCTGTTGTGTGTGCTAAGCATGTTCATTCTGGAGATATTATACTTCATCATACATGGAAAGACAAAGAGGGCCATGTTGTGTCTGAAAAACTAAAATATCCAAAATTGAAATTAAACGCTATTCCTAGGATTTTCACTTTGATAGAGAGAACAACTGGAAAAAGACTTTCTCAAACAAGATTTACTAGACTTCTTTGATAACTTTATTAACAAGTTCAGCATGAAGATTACTTTAAATGAGTGGAATCAAAAAGTGACGAATGACAGGGTATATTTTTATTTTTTAAACATTCAAGAATGTAGTGACTTATATGACATTGGTCTAAAGATATTAACTAGTGTTAAAATTTCTAAAAATTTAAAAGTTACCGTACATATAGGTGACAATTTGTTAAGTGACAACGATTTAAAATGTATTGTGACAGATGGTAAATTATTTAGATAGTCTCAACTGGAAAATATCCTAACTCGGTTCATATTAATATTCAATATATTAGAAATAAGACTGAAGAGTTATTTTTTATATTTTTATATACCACAACTGCTAGGTATGTTCGTCAACGTTCAACTCATTGTGACATCCTAATTTTGTCTACTAACAATGATTTTTCTTCAGTGTCAGCTGGAACAACTCTAATATTTCAACTCTTCATTCAATCATAACCGCTGATTTACTTACAATAAAGATTTGGTCTGACTCAAACTCTTACCTTGCTTTAATGTGGATAAGATAGTAGTTAAGGAGCCACTCAACCCCTGTTTTGAAATGACAGCCAAATCAATATCGTTAATTCTGTAATATTTCCTAGGTAGTCTTATCGATGATAGTAATTGTAAATGGTTCTTGCATACTGGTTCCTGAAGTAATTTAAGAAGATCCTGAAGATCTTATTGCAAAGCAACCTCAGCTTGCTTTGCAATAAGATCTCTGTCAATCATCTGCAAAAATGGCATATTTCTCATTGTTCGAGTCTCATCTTGGATATAAGCTTCCTTTTTGGGATTCTAGTACAGCAGCCAAAATTGATACTATTTTTAAAATAAAAAAAGAGCAATTCGTTATCTATTTGGTCTAAAAAACATAACTCATTGCTACTTAAACAAATCACGAAATTGTGATGCTTCCCTCGTTAAATATTTTAGAAACTGTTTGTTGGATTCGCAAGCATCAAAATATTGGTATAGGTCCTGAAAGACCTGATCATGGCTACTCCGTTAGAAGTTCTAGTTATGATGTTTACTTACTGATGTTGTCCTTTGAGTAAGTAAAGAATTCGGAATTTCCAAATATCCGTAGCGACCACAGATTTTTTACAGATATACCTACGTACTAGTCTTAGAATCTTATCAGGTAAGAAATGTATGAAGCTTCGAAATAGATATAGAAGTCGAAATCTCCTGATTTAAAACATAGTATATACACAAAAGATCTAGCGCGGAAAAGTCTACGAATTGGCCCTTTGAAATCTACAAATCTAACAATACAAGCTCAGACGACAAATTGTTTATATGATGAAAGCATATACACAATAAGAGCAATTGTTTCTATCTAATCAGTTTTTTATAGTATTCTATACTGAGAATTTCTAGTAGAAGTTTTCAAGAGATCGTTTCAAATTTTGGTCTATATTTTTATTCTTAAAGTTTATTAAACCCTATTTTATTTTTGTCGACATATTTAAATCTCCATCACATTGCACATTTTTTATTCCCGGCTGTATAATACATCATTCATATGCCGCCATATGTGCAATTTACAATCCGCTCATAGCGAACAATATAGTGCAGCTAAAAGCAGCGAGACACAATCTCCAGACCTCCAAAAATAATTCGGACAGGTGGCGCACGGTCGGTCAGCTTATGAAAAAACTAGACTAACAGACGGTTTTCGTTTTGAACAAGCATTTCTGTTCTAATAAAACTATCATCCTCGTTTAGTCCCACGTCTTGATTGTGTAATTTATTAAATGCCGCGATATGGGGAGCAAAAGCGTGAATATTATTTGAAAAAAAAAAATCTTCATTAGCTTGTCGCTTTAAACGATGCTTGTCAATGAACAATAAGGCAATTAGGCACGACATGTGGAACTAAGCTTAACAGAGTCTAGTTGAATATATCTAATAAAAATGGATTGATATCAATAAATATCCCTTTTTAAATATTGAAGTCCATCAATGTTTGCGGTTCTGTACATTGCTATTTTACTGTTCCGAAATTATTTTATTGAAGCAGCCATCAAAATAGTTAAAACGATTTTCCTGGCCGATCTTTTACGAATCCCAGTCGCGTTTTCTCGAGATTGTCTGTTAGACAAAGCTTTTTTACAGGACTTTTTTAATCTATTCCACACCAACAGCTGAAAGAGGTATTCTCGCATATATTATTGTATAATCTGTGGGAAGTACAAATTATGTAATAACCAAACAGTTTATGTAATACCCAAGACAGATAGATTGCTGTTTACAACTGAAAATTTGTTTACATCTCGAAATATTGATCATATAGATAGACTAATAATTACATTTAACAAATTAATTGTACAATTATGTGATACATGACAATGCTATTCTTAAACTAAAATACTAAATGGGCTGATAAATTCTCGGCCCCTCCCAGAGATCGCAACACCGATCGTGTAATTTTCTCTCTTAGATTGGTATACTAGAATTGGTTACTAGCAACAGAAATAGATTTCTAGAGAAGAGCAGCAGGCAAATCAAGAAGAGATCGTATACTAAATGAGCGAATACGAGAAATGATGGGAGTCAAGCATACAATGACGATAACATAAAAACAAAATAGTTAATATGGTACAGCCATGTACAGAGAATACTAGATGACAGGATTCCGAAACAGATTTTGACGTGGACACCACAAGGGAGAAGAAAAA